CACCATACAAGTGTAAAGGTTAGGAAAGAGGGAATAAAAAACACCTATCCAGTTATGTGTGTCTTTAAAGAAAGGTGTGTGTAAGTATGGTTTGTTTGTTTTTTGGTACCAGGGATTGAACTCATAACCTCATACTTGCCAGGCAGGCAGGTGTGTGTTTTTAAAGAAATATTACCACTACTTAAAGAGCATTAGTGAACCAGAACTATGCCCAGAGCTTTAAATATATTATCCTACTTACAAATTATATATTCAAATTATACTTCATATAAGAATTACATGAGACAGTAAATAATAATAAACACATGGATCAACTCACCAATAACTAGATAAAGTAAAAATATGTAAACTATAGACAATAATCTAGAAAGTTTCTCAACTTTACATGTGAAAAACTTGTAAATTAAAGTACTATATGATAAAAATTATATATCCTTCATAATAAAGTAAATGTCTTACAAAAATACAGATTGCATTAAGACAGTTCTCTTCTAGAAAACAGTAATAGTATAGCACACGTTCTTCCTAGTGACCCTCATTTAGGACTAGAAAATCAGTATTTAATAGTGAAATTTTGGATTTGCAATTATAGTATCAAACTACATTAGAGCTAATACAATCAATACACTAAAATAGAGTACCAGAAGTTGATCTTTATAAGGGCAAATAATGGAATACATTAAATACCTATTTTAAATTCCTTATTTCCTACTAAGGTATAATTTGAAGCCAGATACCAAGAAGTTTAACAAGATAGTTTGATTAATTTTAAAATTTTTAATTCTAAAAAATCAGAGCACTGCCAGGTGTGGTAGTGCACATCTGGAGATTACTCCAAATTTGAAGGCAGCCTGGGCTACAAAGCCAGTTCCAGACCAACCTGAACTGCATAGCAAAACCCTGTCTCAAAAAACAAAACAACAACAACAAAATCAGAGCACTAAGAACTAAAAAATAAAAAAACAAGAGACTCTATAGTGTCTTAAAAAATCTTAAAACATCTCAGAATAAAATAAAAGTCAGAGCCAGGGATAGTGATGCATGTATATACCACTAGTACCCTGACAAATGGATCAAAAGTTTAAGCATAGCCTGGACAATTTGGTGACTCAGTGAGCTCCTGTCTCAAAATGAAAAAAAAAAAAAAAAAAAAAGAGGCAGAGGGGGCAGTGGTTGGGATATAGCTCCATGTAAAGGTCCTGCATCCAATTAACGAAATAAAGTCAGTAACAAAGAGATTCATTCAGTGTTATAAAGTGTAACACAAATCCTCTAAAGTGTACTTTAAAAAATTTTTTTTAATTTTTGTTTTTTTGATACAAGGTCTTTTTATGTAGCACAGGCTGGCCTCAAACTCATAGCGATCCTCCAACCTCAACCTCCTAAATACTGGGATTACAGGCTTGTACCACCACCACACCCAGCCTAAAGTATACTTTAACAAATTTGCGTAAGGACAATTACTAAATTCAGTGTTTTAGCTCATCCTTATTCTCCATCTCCTCCTCCCACCAACCATTTTCCAAAACTGTCCCATGCTCGGAATGGCGGCACACACCTGTAATCCCAGCACTCAGGAGGCTGAGGAGGAGAACTGCAGCAAATCTGAGGGCAGTTTAGGCTACATAGTAAGTGCAAGCCAGCCTGCACTAAAGTGAGACTATCTAAAAAAAAAAGAAAGAAAGAAAGAAAGAAAGAAAGAGGGCAAAACAAAACCAACTCTGTCCCCAGGGTAGAAACGTAGATATTGGGTAAGTATGCTTGAACCTTCTGGGATATAAAACCACAATAGGCCAAAATTACCAATATCTGTTATTTCACAGAACCAATAAAAGCCAAAGAATTAAAACAATGCTTATCAACTTCCTCAACCATAAAAAATAGTGAGCACTGATTCAATTTAAGTGGTATTTATTAATTCGTTCAACAAATACCAGGGGCTGCTATGTAATGGCATTACGCCAGTCACTGATAATACAAGATACAGACATTATCCATGCTCACAAGGAACTTCTATTCCAAAGGAAAACAACCCACCATGAAGTAAATACACTGACAGAATCCAGCACTAATGTGTATTCTACTAAGCAAGTTTATTTTCATGGCCTACTTCACTCTATGTACCTTCTTAAACACAGTTAATCTAATTAACTCTTTCAAATTACATACTATACTCTTATTTATGCTTATTAAAATGAGAACCAATTTTGTGAGTGAATTAATTCTGGAAACTTAGCTTTGAAAAAGTAGATGCAAATGCATTTTATTTCAAAGAGAGAAAAAAAAAAAAAGGAAAAAAATGTAGTCTCTTGGTGTTCATAGTAGCACACTATTCACAATAGCCAAAAGGTGCAAACAGCCTAAATGTCCATCAATGGATGGAAGAATAAATATCATGGTGTGTATAAATATAGGTACACAATGGAATATTATCGTACTGATACATGCTACAAAGTACATAGCCCACAGTGATATATGTGCACCCATGTTTATTGCAGAATAATCTGCAATAGCTAGATTTTGAAAACAACCTAAATGCCCATCAGCTGAGGAATGGATAAAAAAAGAGGTGGTATTTTTATACAATGGAGTACTACTCAGCCATAAAGAAGGATAAACTTGAGACTTTTATAGCTTAAGTGGATGCAACTTGAGACCATACTGATAAGTGAATTAGACACCCATGTGTAAACACCATATTGTCTCCCTAGTGTGAGAAGCTGAAAGACTACATATACAAGAGTCAAGACTGTTATACTACTAATTTCTCTGAGCTCATCAAAGAGAAAACTTTGTGCTAGTACTGTTCAGAGGATTAAATGCAGATGTCTTGTACTGAGTAACTGATTTGAAGATAACAATATGCAATGTATATACCATTGTTCCCCCAATTATTGTGTTTTGAAATTGTTTTATTTTTCTCTTTAAAATAAAAGTGCATAAACCATAAAACATTATATTAAGTTAAAGAAGCAAGTGACAAAAGATCACATATTATATGAGTCCATTAACACAAACTATCCAGAATAAGTAAATCCATAGAGACAGAAATCAGATTGTTGGTTGCCAAAGACTGCCAGGGAAAAATGGATAACAGAGAACTGTTTACATGATACAGAATTTTCTTTGGGGGTGGAGAAAATGTTTTGGAACTGGCTAAAGTGGTCACACGCAATACTGAGTGTCAACAGATTACAGCTTATTTGTATGTATTCCCCTCTAATAAAAAAAACTTTAAAATTACCTGCTATAATATTTTAAAGTGGATTTTTTTCTCACAAATAAAACTGCTCATGTTCACCTTTGAGTTTAATTATAAATTGAATTACAAACCTGAACTGAATTCCTTCTAGATGACCTTCCCTCCACCCTATACTAGGGATTGAACTCCCTTCCACTAACCTACGTCCCTACACATTCCTAGCCCTTTTACTTGATGGAGAATCTCACTGAATTGTCCCAACTAATCTCAAATTTGTGATCCTTCTACTTCAGTTTCTGGAGTAACTGAGAACACAGGCATGTGACACCATGCTTAATTAACCTCTTTATTGATCACATATTTAGTATATAGGGGGCTTTAAACTAAGTCTGTGCCCGCGAAAAAGTGTACTGATATTAATTATATATTTTCTTTTTAAATTTTTGTTCTCCAATTTTAATTTTTATTGTATGTAAACATACAATATTGTATGTTTAAGAATATACAAAGATTTTTATTTTGTCCAGTCCCGATTGTCTTAAGTACAATGACAGCCTCTCTAAAAATTCTACTTTTCCTGTTCCTTCCTCTATTACAAAATATCCTACACAATTCAGTCTGCCTAGCAACACAGTTATTTCACAAACTCCTTTAGAATCCTCAGACTTTTTTACATCAATAAAATACTACAAAGTACTTAACAGCACCTTCTACATGGGTGCTTAAACAGTTTTGGTGCAATTGAAAATAAAGACAGGCAACACATAAGTATTATAAATTACATATTACATTGAAAAAGACTTCTAACAAGTACTGGTAAGGCAATGTACTGTAGTGCCCAGCAAATTCTCACGCCTCACTTTCATGTAAGTTTTTGAATGCAAATCTGGAGGACGATCTACTGAACGTCGATATAAAAACATTAATTCACCTAACGCCCAGAAAGAATAAATAGAGATTATTCTTATTTATCTCCTTTTTGAAGTTCGACTGCAAATGTAATAGGGAAAGTGAACTTAATGCATTCCAAACCAGGTCATAGGAGAGCTCCAGTCCCCGGTCATCTTGTTTCTGTTTCCTGATTGGTCTGATTTGCAAGCATTATGGTGCCCAGCTTTTGCAATTTACAAGATCCTCTAAATTATTTTCTAAGAAGAGCTTTTTTGTAAAAACAAAAATCGACTTGTGAACTTCGAAGAACTAGGAAAACGCATCCCTCCTTTAAAAAATACTTGCGAAATACTGTGCTCGAGCATGAAAACTCAGTTTTCAGAAAAGTTCCGTTATACTTACACTTCAAATTAACTGTGGGCCATAAACTTGTACAACTGCGAGTCGAAAGCACTACTCTCTTAAGATTTTAAAAAGCATATACGCGAATTCTAAGGCAATTCTACACTTAACGAATGTGCATCTTTCAAATAAAGACTTTAGAACCATCTAAAATTAGATGAAAAATCAAATGCGCTTAAGTACTTCAGAGACATTTCCCCCGCAACACACTCACAACGCCGCGACAACCAGATGCCACTTCGGCAGCAGCCCCGACCCTCGGCCTCAAATCCCGAGCGCCCACCCGCCACCGTCGTCCCAGCATCAAGTTCCCCACTATTTCGATTGCAGTCACCTCCGCGTCGCAGCAACCCACACGCCGCCTTGGCGATTTACATCCATCTTCATTCACCTCGCGCACACAGTCGGCGTTATCAGTCCCTGGACAACCAGGGGACCTAGGAAGAGGCGAGCTGGCGCGAGAGGAGAGCGGGTGCTCCTCGGTCCCGCCGGGCCCGGCACCCACCTGCAGGCCGCGAGCCCGGGGGCGGCGGCGCCGGCGCCCCGTCCTCGCCGAAGACGAGTTTAAAGTCGAGCTCGTCGTGGGCGCCACAGTTTGCAGTAGTCATCGGCGTGGTCCGGGGTACTGCAGCTCGCTCCTGCTCAAGTGGCGGCGGCGGCGGCGGCGGCGGCGGCAGTTCCTCAGCGCCGCTTCATGCCGGGCCGCGCCGGCCAAGAGGTCGTGGCTCCTCCGCAAACTTTCCGGGCGGGGCCCGTGGCGCCGAGCGTTCCGTTCCGTTCCGTTCCAATCTAAAAAGTTGGCCGTAGGCCGAGCCGCACAGCAGCCACTACTACCACCAGTCGCTGGTGCCTAGGCAGCTACCGTCGTCTTAATCCAGGATCCCCGCCCCCCCCCAGTCGCCGCCGCCGCCGCCACCACCACTACCACCAGCGCGCTCCCGCGCCGCGTAGCGCATCTGACCCCGCCCCTACCGCGCGCCCATCTGGGCCAGCAGCCCATAGGCCAGCGGCGCGTAGGACAAGCCAGGGAGCCCCGCCCTCTCGCCAGCCTATCGCGTGACTCCCTCTCAGACGAGAAGAAAGTCACGTGAACACCGAGAGCCAAAGACCCTTGCTGCCTCTTGGGAGTTGTAGTCGAGTGTCTTCACTCCGCCATTTCCTGCAAGCCCGACGGGAGTACGGCCGACTGACTGCTCACATCAGTTGGATTGAGGAACCCACCACAGGACAACAAGAGGAGGTGTCTTTTTGAGTGGATCTCCTTCGCGGAAGGGGCACTTGAAGGCTAGGCTTATGGGTTTGGTGGTAGGGGCCGCGCCGTGGTTATGGCTGTATTTTGAGAACACCCTGCCTCCAATATTTTTTGGACACCGCTCACACCCGCGTCCACCTACCCCAACCTCAATGGAGGAGTTCTTCAAAGATTGACGACTGAACCTGAGCCTGCAGTTAGTTAGAAGGCCTGGGTTGCGACTCGGAACTCGCGGTCACTGGAAACCCATCCTGCCTGGGGGCCTACCTTTTTGTCCCCTCTGGCCTACCCAGGCTGCTGCTCCGCTTCAAAACAGAATAAGCGTTGGAGGTTTCCGCGGAGATTTAATCGCAGCTGATCTGTCCCCAGCTGCAAGTGGAACAAGCTGAGCTAGAAAGCCTTTTGGTTTTTTGGGTTTGTTTTTTGAGACACCTTCTGTAGTTGAGGGTGGCCTTAAACTCACTATGTATCCTATGGTAGCCTCAAACTCACGGCAATCCTCAAGCCTCAGCCTCCTGTGTGTTGGGGTTACAGGCATATGCCACCACCCTGGCAGGATAGCCCCTTGGTTAAATTTGTACCACTCAGAGCTCTGTATCCTTATACAGATGCAAAAACAGCAGGGACCAAAACACCCAAACTGGTGGCTGCCTGTGGAAAGTGATGTTGCCTAAAGGCCAATTTTCACTCTTGGCACCTCTCCAGGGTGCGTGCCTTCCCTGAGGACAGCCTGAGACACTGTCTCTTGGGGGCTGGGACACAGAGCCTGGTATGTTTACTCTGGGCTCTACCAAGGCCCTTGTGTAGATAGGGAGTCTAGGGACATTCAGTGATTACCTTCTTCAGCTACATGCCTTGGGCACAGAGCCCGAAGTGTGTTGTTCCCTAGGTTGCTCTACAAACATGGGCTGTCACACAGGCTTTCCTACAAGTGAGAGGCCTTAGAAATGTCACTTCACAAGACCCACAGCAAATACGACACCATCCCAAAAGCTCCTGGGAGAGGGGAATGGTAGAGTGAGTTTCTCAGCTAACAGGAAACTCAACTTGGGGAGCCCAACAAAGCTTTAGGTCAAAAGCAGCAGCAATGTCTGAGCATGTGAGATGGTCATCTTGAACAGGTTTATTACCTTCCCAGCGCTTTGTGCTTATTCCTATGCTGAACCTGGGGGTACAGAGATAAATTATTCTCCCTTCTGGGAGCACTGGACAGGAAGGAAAGCAAATCTATAAATACTGTGAAGAGAGATTAGAACTCAGCCAGTTCCAAAATGTTTCGAAACAAGATGGGTAGGAATTGGAAACAAAAGGTGAGGAAAATTCATTCCAGGCAAAGAATGGATTTCCAAAGACATGGAGACTAGAAAGTACCTGCAGTAATCAGGTGTGGCACACACCTGTAATCCCAGCACTCAGGAGGCTGAGACAGGAGGATCAGTGCAAGTTCAAGGCCAGCATGAATTTTGTAGCAAGGTACTGTTAAAAAAAAAAAAAAAAAAGTACCTGTAGTGGGCAGAAGCAAAGATAGATGAGGCTGGATGAATGGGCAGAGTGCAGAAGGATACTGTGAGGGCCCTGGACTTTAGCATGAGGGGATTAGGAAGCCATGGAAGGGTTGTTAAAGGTAGTCAAGGAAAGGGAGCACATGGCTGAGATGAGTGGAAAATCCTTAATAAGCTATCCTGTCTTCAGAGGATCTTCAGCATTGAGGGCCTGACTGGAAAACTTACAGCACAAATGCCACATTAGCTCTGAAGTCTTCTGCCTCAGACAGATTGTGGACCCAAGTGTTAGTACCATTTATAACACAACTCTGCTATAATTTAGGGTTTCCAAATCTTGGCCAGTTTACTTTCCTCCATAAAACTTAAGGCAACTTCAGGATACATCTCCCTTCCCACTCCCACATACATACTTCTTATGTTGTCATCTGAGAAAATAGACTTTTATCCAGGCCATCTTCCAGACATGCCTTTGCCTGAATCTGAGACTCAGCCAGTCAAGGGAGAAGGGAGGCAGGAAGTAGATCCTGGGCCTATCAATACCTCCGACCCCTGGGAAGGGACTGCAAGTAGTACATCTGTGTTCCCAGGCACCAAGCGTCTTAAGAGTACTTAAGAGGGCCATGTCTTGGAATGAATTTTTGGTATGGGGAAAACTGATCATCTAACATGAAGTAATGAGAGCTGAGACAAGTGCTAAATGAGGAAGCAAGTCATCACTTTCTAAGAAACTGAAGCACATACTTTTTAGCCTCATTCCAAAGCTCCTGCAGGTCATCGGACCAGTTTCTAGTCCTGAGTGTTGTGAAACAGAAACCAGAACAATTGACAGAACTGCAGGATACACAAGGACTGTGGGAGTCCCTGTACTTTCCCTCTCCTTGTGTGCGAATACCAGCCTGGCCTGAGAATTTGAAAATTAAGGAGAGCCACATATTTAATCCCCTCATGCTAAAGCCAACAAACCTAGCCTTCCTGATTTACTACTGAAGGCCCTCCTATATCCTTAGAGCTAATGGGATGGTACAGCTTAGTTGATCCTAGCCTCCTGTTTGTTTTCGTTTTTCCTGAGACAGGGTCTCGCTATGTAGTTCAGGTGGGCCTTGAACCCACTATGTTAGCCAAGGCTGGTCTCAAACTTGCAGTGATCCTCCTGCCTCAGTCTCCCAACTGCTGGGATTACAGGCATGTTTACTATGCCAGTGTCCTCTTGTCTCAAACTAGGGAACACAGGAGGAACCTTGGGAGTTTAGAAAAGTTCTTCCCCTCCATGCCTTGCATCTCCTTACCTTGTGGTCTTATTTTAGTCTTCTAAGCCTGCTCCCTACCCCATGCCAACACTGGCCATAGAGGACACAAGCATTGCCCTTCAGCAGGTCCCAATCTGGGCCAAGAGGATAAGGCCAGCCAACTACAACCTCCAAAAGTTAGTTGCTGAAGTCAGCACAGGTTGCTGAGAAGATAGGTCAGCACTTTGTCCTCTAACATGAGACTAAGGGATCTGGATGTGGTCCAGAGGGCAGTCTTGTAGAGCCAGGAAAGAATTCTGAGCAGCAGCACATAGGAGGTTAAAGAGATTCCCCCTCATTTTTGCACAAATTCAGTCATCTTCCTGTGCCTTTGGAAGTCCTGCCACCCTCTCTAGCCTTACCCTTCCATCTCATGTTCATATCAAAATCATTCATCCCCAAAATGTGATGAACTATGGGGAAGGTCTCAAGGTGGCTGGAATGGAGTGTCATAGGTACCAGCCATCTTAGTGGCAGACTTCTGTCTTTGCCTTTCCTTTTCCATAGCCCAGAAATAAACCTGACCCTGCTAGAGGGAAGGGCTACCCCAGGAAAAATCACACTGATGGAAGGAGGGGCCTGAGATCAACACTCAGTCCCACCAGAGAGACAGATCTCAGTATTCAACGTCAAGTTCTCACAGGGTTCTCCCTGGCATGCATGGGTTGGGAGACAGGGGGTGCCCATGGGACCTCTCTGCCTACCCAAATCTAGTTCTGAAACAAGGAAAGGTAAAAGGATCATTTTGATTGAGACCATTTTTAGTAAAAAAAAAAAATCAGAAATAAATTGTGCCTAAAGCTTGGTAGGTGGGTCTGGACTTTATTCCACATGACAGAGGGGGTCTTTTCTGGAGCACCAGTTTAGTGTCTTGGCATGGAGTGACTCCATTAGCCACTCCATCACAGGCCAGCCTGTTATCTTCCAGCCAGGGAGGCAGAGGACAGCTGATCCCACTGTCAGAGAAGGGCCCCTAGGGGCAGAGTGAGCTAGAAATGAGTTGCCCAAAGTCAAACTGTAATGCACTGTGGGAGGTAGCTGGGAATATAGTATCCTTACCTGCATGCACTTAGAAGAGCATGTGGGGTGACCAGGAGGAGCAGCACCAGGACTCAGACAAAGCCTCACCCACCAAAGCCCTGATCCAGAGACTAGGGCCAGGAGTTGCTGGTGTGACATACCGGCCTGACCCCTTGGGGCTGGGTTACCACAAATCCGTGAGGCACACCACAGGGAGATATATGGAAAAGGACCTTGGCCCAGAGGTGAATCCTCCCCCCAAGCTGCCTAGCAAAGGTACAGTCAGGGCAGCATGTTTACAATGGAGGAAACAGTGGGTAGGGCGGGACCTTTGGTCAGAATGCCCCTCCCAGTAAGCGGGGGAGGCCCCAAGAGGTGGTGGTAGCCGTTTGTTTGTTTCTCACTGCCAAGAGGAAATTAAAGTGAATCTGCCACTTCCTTCCGGCCCCAAGTGGGGTTGGGGGAGGGATGGGTGCATAAACTGTGAATTGCAATAGCCAAATTGCTGTCATCAGCACCTTGCAATGCCCCCTGCCCAAAGCAGTACCTTATCAAGTCTGAGTCCAGTCAGGCTTAAGAGACTCAGGGGCCACAGTTTCCTGTTTACAAGGCAAATACTCAGGTTACCCCCTGAACTCAATGAGATGGTCTCTTAGTGGAGCTCCAAATGCCCTAATCTGTCTCCCAGATTTCATAGATTTCCATCAACAAAGTCAACTAATGCCCAGGATCTCAAGTTTCCTTGAGTGGGTTCTGGCTTAGCCCAAATTGAGTGGGCTCGAAAGGTGACAGCCCATTCCCCACCTCTACTTTCCAACACCATAAACCTCTAAGAATGGGCCGGGGATATGCTTAGGGTTTTTTTTCTTTCTTTCTTTCTTCTTCTTCTCCTTTTTCTTCTTCTTCTTTTTAGAGACATGGTCTTATTATGTAGTTGAGGCTGGCCTTGAATTCACTATGCAGCCCAGGCTTGCCTCAAACTTACAGCAATTCTGCTTCAGCCTACCAAGCACTGGGATTACATGCATGCACCACTGTGCCTGGTGGGACATGCTTTAGGAAGCTCCATCTTTGTGCAGAGGGTGGGAATGGAACAATTATGGCAGGACATAAGTCTGTGTTTGAAGATGCCCCAGGATGAAGCAGTTATCCTTGAGTGAGGTTAGTATTTTTATTGCACTGTACCAATGTCAGGTTAAGGAGGCATCACCTGAAAATCTTCCTGTTTTCACCCAGGTCACTAGAAACTTGGCGCAATAACTCAGACTTCCCCCAGGAAAGAAGAGATCCTGGGGTACTCCTTGGCCTGTGCTTCAGGCTAATGGCCTGGGCCTGGACTCCTGCCAGGCAGGGTTAGCGAACTGTCCACTAGCATCTGGTTTATCTTCTGGTACCAAAGGCCATCTCAGAGGTAGGCCCAAGGAGTGAGCCACCAGGACAGGAACAGTAGTAGTCACCAGCCTTCCAGAGGGCTCTCTTTATCACTTTGCAACACCACAAAGGGCTTCTTGCATAGCTCTCCAGGCAGTGCTGACTCCTGAGCTTTGGGGCCCCCAGGGTCCTGGTCAGGGGTCTCCCGCTTGCGCTTGTGCAGGGAGGGACTTTCCTCACCCAGCCGACCCTCAGGGAGGCCCTGGCTCCGCAGACAGACAATGGCTGCAGTTTGCTCTGCCAGTTTCTTGGACTTGTCCCTGGATAGACAAAGCATAGGGCAATAACATAGGTATGCAAGTTGCAAGCCTGGAGATTGGAAGGTCAACTGTGTATACCCTTGGCAGAGATTCTGATGAAATTGAGTAAGGGCTTTATGTGGGGACACCAGTGCTCATGTATACCACTCTCTCAGGCCAATGCTAGATTCAGATTGCCCCATCCCAAACCTCATGTCCTCTGATGAAGAAACTCACCATAAGGTAGACTGGTACTTTTGCTCTGCAACAGTAACAGTGGAGCAGAATAGGCGATCTAGAGGTCGTTGAACCTAGTACAGAGAGAGAAGGAAATAAGGCTGGCTGCCCTGGGGGCCAACCTGCTATCTCTCGTCAAAAGTAGATAAAGGGAAGTACTTCCAACCCAAGTTAAATAGCTGACTGATCACATATCCTCCTATGCAAAAAATGTCTGGTACATGGAAAAAAGACCAACACATAAATTGACAGTGATACTGAGGGTGTCCTCATTTCTCTCATAGATCTAAACAAAGGGCTGTCATAGCCTTTTGCTGCATACATTAAGACCTCCTCCTGCTGATATTTGGATGTCTTTCCACATGAGAAGTTTATCAGATGGCAAAGGGGTGACAGAGGACAAGCATGAGCATAGAAAAGGCACACACCTGGCAGAGGGACCAGGTATGTAGCTAGAGCAGAGCACTGAGTAAGTAAGACCTAAAGCAGTGGAAGCATGTGGAGGAGGAGAGGGTTAGTGCACTATGCTGGTGTGGGGGGCTAAGGCTTGATCCTATAGGTACAGGGGAGCTGATGGCTTGAATAATGGAGACAAAGATTGAGTTTGTTTTGGAACAGTCACTCTGGCACCAGGGGTGGTGGTACCTGCTGCAATGCTAACATCTATGAGGCCAAGGCAGAAGGATCATGAATTTGAGGCAAATCTAGACTACATAGTGAGTTCAAGGTCAACCTGCAACACACAGTGAGACTTTGTCTGAAAAAATCCAAAAAAGTTACTGTGGCAGGTAAGAAAGGACATAAGGTCCAGAAGGTACAAGGCTGAAGGCCAGAAGGCTAGTTAGGAAGAGACAAAGCCTACAAGGACAAAAGGAAATGAAGAAAGACTATCTCAAGAGGCCAACTCAGAGGCTCCATGTCTGGGCCCCAATTATATACTCTATTGGCTGAGGCTGGGTCCAGAGATATGTATGCCTGAATTGGACAACAGGCCAAGGTCTGAGGATGGAGGGCAAGGTGAAATGCTAGCAAAGCAGCTTGCTAAGCAGATGCAGGGGGTGTGCAGGGATGATGGTACCAGCATTGTGGCTGGCTGCAGGTTAGTCCACAGCCATAACTCACCGTTTCGTACACAGGCTGTGATAACTTTTCTCTCCGGCACCACTCCAGTAAGCACATTTTTGGGGTGATCTGGGGTGAGTATTGTCTCCTGGAGAAAAAAAGGGAAGCAGTTAGGGACCACTCACCATCCCCACTACCTCCTTCAGCAAGGGACCCCTTCAGTTCCTGGTAGGAGCTACAGGAACTGGAAGAACTGACACACCAGGCTGCTGCCTTAATGTTCCTGTGCCTAGTCCCCTGCAAAATCCTTCCTGTCTTACTAGCAGTTAAGGCCTAGGTTCTAGCTAAAAGGAGGATGGGTTTCAGCATGCTTGTATACTGGGTGGAGAGGATAAAGCATTCTGAGCTCCAGCCTGTAAAACCATTGTCAACAGCTAGGAAAGAAGGTCCAGTTTAGCTCTTATGATAAGAACAGAGGAAATGGGTACAAGTAAGCAACATAGATGGTCATAAAATGATATCAGGGTCTAGCTCAGTGCATAATCTGATTCTATCTGCTCAGAGTCAAGATCATCTGCTGCAACCACAGACACAATAGACGCTGGCTTCACAGTCTGTAACCAACAGACAAGAGTAGGAAGGACATGTTCCAACTTTCTACTGGGAGCTCCCTCTGGCATATGACTGGCCAACAGCTGTACTCCCTCTCCCACTCCCACCCCATGTCCTTGCCAGACAAGACTGGCTCAAGATCTGGGTCTGGGGTCTGGAGAAAGGCTCAGATCCAGATGGCAGAGGATAAGGATGAAAGCACCATTCAAAGCTGAGTCACAGTCTGAGACAAGAATCTGTCTGAGGCTACTTATGCCTGGAGAGGGTACCACAGGATGTGGGACAATGGGTACGAGCAGGGTACAGAGCCAAATGAGAATAAGCTCCTGGCAGCTGTTTGGAGCTCAATGCATACAGCCAGTCCTCAAGGCCAGGGGAAAACACAGACTTTTCAGGAACAGGAGGGAAGTAATAAGGAAAAAAGAGTATTTAGTCATCCTTGGGACAGCATGCATACCCTCAGCAGTGCTGCCTGGGCTTACAGCTTTCCTTACAAGTACCTTCTTAGGGAACTGAAACTAGTAACGAGTGTCCAAACCAAGGAGACTTGTGGTCCCTAACTTCACCACCAATCAATCACATATAGCAGCCAATTTGCTGCTTCAGTCAGATCCTGGCACTAAGCCTGGTTCTGTGTAGGCCAAGCTAGAAACTTACCGATCAAACTTGACAGCCAACTTAATGACACCAGAGGTATCTTCAGCTGGCTCCCCAACCTCTTCTGGAGTCCTGGCCAAAAGCTCAGTCCTTCGGGCATTTAACTCCCGAGTGGTCTCCTCATAGAAGGTACCAAGGCCAAAGGCCTCACTGTGGAGAAAGCACCAGAGCCAGACAAGTACTTTAGTAGAGGAGCACCAGAGGTGCTGGAGGAACAAAGGGCCCCATCCCTGAGAACTCCTGTATTGTATACATCAAAATTCCACTGGGGGTCTGGGCGATGAAGATACCATCTGCCCACCCCATGTCCTAAGTCCACTTGGAGTAAAAGCTTGAGAGAGAATATGAATTTCTGAGCATGGATACTTGAGGAAGACTGGGTTGGAAAAAACGTTTTTACAGGTCAACCCCACCACCTGCAGCCTTTCTTCAAGGCTAGCTAAATAGGTAGGTGTCCCTGGCCAGGTGTGACTAAGCCTTATCCTCATGTGGCTCGCATGAGGAAGAGACAGAGGCTTGACCACAAGTGGTTCCTTGCTTTGTACCAGGCCACAAGCAGTTACCACAAGCAGCCTAAACTGAGATACTACCCAAAGCTGTAGATTTACACTCTGTTTTAAAGGCCAGTTGCTTAAGCTAAGTGGGACAAGGACAGAAACAATGCCATAATCCGGGGGTGAAAGGAGGATTCTTCCATGGCTTTTCCCTTCCAGGAGAGATCTTTTTTTTTTTTTTTTTTTGTCTTTTTATTGGTACAGGGGATCGAACTCACGACTGCCTGCTTGCAAGGCAGGCGCTTAGGCGGCTGAGCTAAAATCCCTAGCCCCAAAATCTTAGCCACTTGAGCAAATACTTTTTTTTTTTTTTTTTTGTATTTTTACTGGTACCAGGGATCGAACTCACGGCCACAGGCTTGCAAGGCAGGCGCTTATGCCACTGAGCTAAATCCCCAGCCCCCCAGGAGAGATCTTAGAGGCTGATGGATACCCAAGAAGATGGAGCTCTAAGGATGACAGTGATTCAGAAAGGCCTGTTGGGGGAGAGAGGATACAGATAGCCAATGTGTGTGCCCTTCCAAGCAGAGGAACCATAGGAGCACAGATATGGAGATATAGAAGCAGGCAGGGAACTGTGGGAATTGGAACTAGGTTAAACTATGAAGGACCCCCAGTGACAACCACCTGAGTTGGATCCTGCACCAGATCTGGAGGACCAATGGGCAGCCTCATGTTGCAGTATAATGGGTGCAGGATCAGGCCACAGACTCTACAGGCCTCCTTTTCCCAATCATTGGGAGGGCCACATTGACAGTGCCATTAATGGAAAAGCCCACTCTCCTCAGGAATTGCCAAACTTCTTTTGCATTTTTCTACCCTACTGGTGCCCTAGTTCCAATTTCTGCTGCTGAAATCAGTCTAGGAATGAACATTCCAGAGTTTTAAAGGTATCTCCTTCTATGAGGCAGACCTGTACTGGTAACCCACTCCTCCACATCCATGTCCAGAAGCTGGGTCCCTGAGCCCTCAGAAAGTCAGCTTAGGGCTCAAAATTAAGCCTGGGCAATGTCTGTAAGGCCAGATGGACAGTCCATTGCCTTTCTTACCAAATTTCCTGGGAAGACTGGGCAGCATGGAGCAACTTTCCCTGGGGTGACTCCAACTGTTCACGTAGCATCTGACACAAACAGTACTTGGTGTTGGTGTAGTGGTTGTCATACTGCACTGCCTAGGAGGAGAACTAGCATGAGCCTATATTTTGGTAGGCTTCAATGAGGGTACAAGTGGTATGCTTATAGCCAAAGTAATGTGACCCCTTAAGAAGAGCCACCTCCACTTGGCCACCTAGTCCCCTAGCTAGCAGTACAAAGATTAAGGGTCACAGCCAAGGACTACAATTGCCAGACAACCTGCCGCAGACATAGAAGTGGAAGGGATCCCTTCCTGCTTCAGCTGCCACAGGTTACAATAGAGAACATAGTGCTAAGTATTTTCTGGGACAATGGGGAACACATCAAATTCTAACATGGGAAGTCTAGTCCTACCATACGGGTAAAATTTTCCTACTTTTTAGAACCTGGGTGGGAACCTTTGCTTTTTACACCTTAACTAGCCTCCTTCCAACTTCCCTTACATAGGTAAGGCATAGCCCCCATGTTCACACATGTTACCTGCCTGTTCCTGTATCACAACAAGTAAGAGGTGCAGCAGTTACCCCTTTCCACAGCCTGTGAGTTGAGGCCCAGGGAGGCCTGTCTACGGCAGTGGTGGTGAACCTTTTAGAGCTTTGAATGATACAAACAGTTTGTGTCACATATGCCATACGGTTCACCATAACTGGTCTGCACAGACACCTGCCTGGCTAGGATAGGGCAGAAAAGCAGCAACAGGTGAAGACTACTTGTATAGGTCCTCTGGAATCCCATGCCCACCCCTTGTTCCTAACTGTTCCAGAATCTCTGGCTGAGTCTACGTCATCAGTGTCTGGGAAGGTGCCATGGCATGCTCAAGACAAAGGGGAAAAATGATAAATGGGTCAGCCATGGTAGGCAGCAAGGCCATGATTCAGCTTGTTGTGGGAGGAGACCACAACAGAATTAGACCAGAAGCAGTCCTGTAACACTTGAGGCCACTCCCTTTCTCTGTGACAACTCACCCTATTGAGATCTTCCCAGCAGCAGTGAGAATGTCATCTTTCACTCAGTGAGCAGGCTCAGCACATACTTGCCAGTTGGCCAGAACTGGAGAGCTGACCTAGGCTGAGGCAATGCTGATCCAGACTGACAGACAGCTAGAACTCACCAGCCTGTCCAAAAGCATACCCAGAACGAAGGGGATAAAAACTGTAACACTAGAGCAGAGGCTCCAGGATAGACTGCCTAGCCTTGGACCCAAAGTACAGGGTCTTCTACCATACGCATCTTAAGCAGTCTTGAGAATACTTATGTACTATGCAGTCATGGCTTGGGGAGGCCATAGACAGTCCCAGACATGGGTAAGCCTAGGACTGAAGAGGATTGTGTAAGACTGGGTGGGTGAAGGATGCACCTCTGCTGATGCCCAGCTCATTGAAGAATTTGAGGATCACTGTTTCTGCTTATAGACAGGTGAAATTGATCAAATTTCAAGGATGTGTCTATGAAACAAGACAGGTGAATGCACCAAAAATTCCATTGGAGAAGCCAGGTGTGGTGGCATACACCTGTAATTCCAGCACTCAGGAAGCTGAGGCAGGAAGCTCGCTCCAAGTTTTAAGACAGCCTGGGCTACACAGTGAGTTTCAGACCAGCCTGAACTACACAGTGAAAATGTCTCAAAAAGACAAAAAAAACAAAACCAAAAATTTTTCTGCGGAGACATATTTCTGGCACTACTATCAAGCTCCCAGTGAGAAGAAACTGCTTTACAAAAAGTGATTCCTAGCAGGTGTTGTGATTCATGCCTGCAAACTCAATACACAGAAGGCCAAGGCAAGAAGATTTCTGCATGGATGAGACCAGCCTGGACTACATATTCAAGGCCAGCCCAAACAACATAGTGAGACCCTTACTCAAACAAAACAAAACACACACACACACACACAAGAAAAAATTATTCCTAAATTATTACTAAAATGCTAAAAAACTAAAATAGTTAGTTAAAAAGATAGTTATTAGTAGAATTGTCATTCTGTACTATGCTTATTACCCTAGCAACCATGTAATTAAAACACCAACCACATAGTTATAGATAAACTGACTGCATCATCATGCTGTTCTATATGGGTGTCCCCCTGAGTAACCTGTTTGCTGTGTCAACCTTTGTTCTCTTTGTAAGAGACAAATGATGTTGTGTCAACCATTGTTCCCTTTGTGAGACACAAATGTTCCTGGAATTGGCAGACTAAGGGCTATGAATTGGCTAACCACCCACTGTGAAATGCCTCTGACCTCAAGCAAAGCGGAACAAAGGCCCACCTTGTTTCAGTTTCTCATCGCTATGTACTTAATGGTCAATAAGCTAATCGTAAATAAACTATAAAAACCTGTCAAAATTCTAACCCAGTTGCACAGCTTTGCAAACTCCATCTGTACTGTGCCACTGGGTACCAGCTTAAATAAAAGTGCTTCTTTTTAAAAGACGTCTTGCCCCCTTCTTGACAACAGACAACATCACGGGGCTTGTTTCTGGGGTACAACATTCTCTATGAAGAGAGTTCAAGCTGAGCTACTTCCTAACTCACACTAAAACATTCTGGGAGTCAGCAATGGAGTAGTATTTTTCATGAGGAGGGAAAAAAGGGAGTTGAGACAGGGTCTCACTATGTAGTTTGGGCTGGCTTTAAACTCACCACGTAGCCCAGGCTGTCTTAAAACTTGCAACAATCCTCCTGTCTCAGCTTCCTGAGTGCTGGGATCATCACGTACCACCACACTCAGCTAGCAATAGAGAAGTGAGCTATAGCTACCATGCCTGAGGCTCTAGGTTCAGACCCCAGCACAGGACAGAGGAGGAGGATGTTTTATATTCTGACAGAAGACATAAATCAGGTGAGAAGTCTCTAAGGAGATAATCTGACCCCAACAATAACTACAAAGGCACCTCCTGGCTATGGCCTGTACCTGTGCCACCCCAGAAGCATGCCTCTCTTCAGTGACATAGAATTTCACTGTCCATGTGCAGGCACATGTGCACATTGCATTGGGACACAGAATGAGAACAATGTGTGTTTGGGGCCTCAGCAGCACTCTAGATCCAGAAAGTCTTTGCTATCACCTCCTCTTTCTTGAAGCTTTAGAAGTAGGTGATGGCAGGAGAACATGAACCACTGTTGTCTCTTCACATGGCAGCTGGGGAGACCCAATCCTTTATTATACGAGCTTAAAAAAAAAAAAAACAGAAAAGGGGCTGGGCCTGGTGGCACACACCTCTAATCCCAGTACTCAGGAGGCTGAGGCAGGGGAATTGCTACAAATTTGAGGCCAGCCTGGGCTACACAACAAGAACCTGTGTTAACAAAAAAAAAAAAAAAAAAAAGGAAAGAAGAAGAAGGAGAACAACAGTAGGCATTGCTGGCAGATAGTGAGAAATGGTGGTTTTGAAAAAGCACAGAGACGTACATATCTGATGTACTTCTGCATGACCTCTTCCAGGGGACGCAGACCATCCTTGAGGAAAATAGATGGGTTCCACATGGCTGCTCGGGCCACCATCACTGAAGATGCAGCTGTGGCTTGTCTAAAGTTCTCTATGTCCAAATGTTGTTGGATGTGATCATGAGATCCTCCACTGAAAAGCAACAGAAGGGTTAGGGTGTTCGCATCACAGAATCTACTAACACGGTAGCTTTGGTCAAGTCCCTTCAGCTATCAGAGCTTCAACAAAGTGGTGATTATAATGCATTCTTCATTGTGAGGTTAGGAGCACTAACTGAGATAATATATGGAAACAGCCTGAGTCATGTCTGGAACATAACAGGTATTCCAGAAATTTTACTTTTTTTCTCTCACATCTGAAGCACTGGTCAAAGCTACTTCTGAAAATGTGGGCGGAAAACAAGCGATTGGATCAAACAAGGATTGGGTCAAATCTCTAAAGAAGGGGAAGGGAATACACTGTTAACGATAAAGGGAATGAAGGAGGTCCAGTTGGGTCATAATTCTTCTCCCTTTATCTTGCTGCTCTAAGGGCCTTCTCAGAAACTGCTCTGTCCTCATCTATTTTATCAGGTATCAGGTGGCAGCCTCAGTTTCTTAACCATGTTGTGGGGTGGATCCTCAGGTAACAAATTAAGCAGTAGGTTCCAGGGTCTTGAGTAGTCTTGCCCTTGCCCTGTAAAACTTCTTGCTTTGGGGATGCAGGCTCTGGCTTAACTCTTTAACGCCTCCCTCCCACCAGTCAAGCTTTTTTTTTTTTTTTTTTTGTCTTTTTCATTTTTATCGGTACCAGGGATCGAACTCACAACTGCCTGCTTGCAAGGCAGGTGCTTATGCCGCTGAGCTAAATCCCCAGCCCCTGAAAGCTGGTCTTAAACTCACTATGTAGCTCAGGCTGGCCTTGAACTTGTGGTGATCCTTCTGCCTCAGCTTCCTGAGTGCTGGGACTATAAGTGAGTGCCACCACATTCAGTACTCATCTAGGTTTTTATGACCCTGTTCCCTGAGTCATAGCACTATGAGCCTGCTTCAATGGCCACCTTTTTGCCCTCCCTACCTTAAATAATCCTATCCCAGACCATCCATCAGAATGCTCCAAGCTGCCTCTGCACACTCCTACACCAACCTCTCACCAGAGGTGAAGCAACCTGATGTGTTTGCTATTTACTTTTCAGCCTCATTCCCAACTTTATTTTTTACCCTATGTTTTCTTCCTTTTCCCTTGTGAACATTGTTTATTTGTTATTTGTTTTTGTTTTTTTTTTTTTTGAGACAGGTTCTTTGCAGCTCAGGCTGGCTTGAGCTCACTATGTAGCCCAGGCAGGCCTTGAATATCACAGTATTCCTCCTATCTCAGTTTCCCAAGTGATGGGATTACAGGTGTGTGTTACCATGCCCAGTGATTATGGTCATTTCTAAATGCTCTCTCATTTCATATTTTTGGGTGCCAGCAAGTAAATGAGGAGGGACACTCACTTGGCTATGACAGGAATGGAGAGGGTTTCAGCAATGGCTTTGATGATTTCACAGCTGACAGGATGCTGAGGCCGCTCCTCACGCTTCCTTGGAGATAAGGAAAAGAGATGGGGCTGATTGCCAAAGGCCATGTCATTGCTCACAAGGCCATGTCATTGCTCACAAATGACTACCTTAGCCAAACCTTACAGGCCTCCATATGAACCTCAGGCAGCCATATGGTCATCAGGCGGATGGTGCAGGATATGGCCTCTCTGACCTCTGGGGAAGAGCACTGTTGTGAGGAACAGGGCAGCACAGGCTTGTGCTAAGAAGGCAAGTCCAGCTCTCAGAAGCCTGAGGTGAGAAATACTATAGGGGGCCAGTATGGTGGCCTAATGTCATGTAGCTTTTCCTTGGCATTCCCTTCCTTTGTCAGAGATGACAGACACTGCCGTTAGAATGCTGCCCCTACTGACCCAGTACTCCCCTCCCCAAAGGACTGGGAACAGCTGCCACTGCTCAGACTGGCCACTCCTACGCAGCTGCTTATGCTGAGGCAAAGATGCACAGCTGACCCTGAAAAGGAGCACTTGACACAAGGTAGGCCCCACTCCCAGAGCAGCCAGGGCAGGCGATAGTCAACAAGCCACAAAGGAGACAGGACACAACCTGGGGTCCCTCCAAGGTCAACTGTAAGAAACTCTTGTGCATGACCAAGCAAGTCTTAGGGACGCTGAGGTGAGGCCTCAACTGACCTGTGGTCAGAGACAAGCAGGAAAGGGAACTGACAGGTTTCATCTGAGCATGTTCCCTGCTATATTCCTCAACTCTTCAGAAGGCCCTGCCAACCCAGCTCTATCTCTACCTTCCTATATTTCCAGCAGCCAGTTTTAGCCTATTCTCAACAGCTCTAATGGACAGAAAGTCCTTCCTTAAACTCACCCAAATCTGATTTCCTAGTCTTTCACCCTGACAAAAGCAACAGCTTCTTTTCTTAAGAAAATATTGTACGTCAGGCAGTGTACTAAGGCATTTATTCACAATTTCATATAAGCTTCACAACAATTGTACTATAATAGCTTAATTTCCAAATGAGGAAAGTGGTACTCAGAGAGATTGACCTTCCCAGAGTACACAGCTAATAGACTGCAGAGCTGGGATTTGAAAACAGAAAGTTGGAGCACAAAGCCTACTGCCTTCGGAAGGAGAATACATGCATAAAAAACCGTTCTATCTTCCCCTCCTGGCTTGAGATGCCTACTTTTCTATTTTCCATGTGGGAATTCTGGGTGTCCTCTGAAAATGCTGTGACAGACACAATCAGCAACCTGGGCTGCTTCTGTAAGATCTATCAGCCCAAATGGGACATTGGTCAGAGGATCAAAGCCATCAACTGAAGTATACAGACCAAGATCCTGTACCCAAGGACATCTTGAGCAATGGGAACAGATTTGACTGGGATGCCAAGGGCAGCCTTCAGAAACACCTGCACTGCCTGCAGATAGCACATTAGCCTTAGACACAAGGACTGTTTAAAGAAGTCATCAAAACCAATGGTAGTCCAACAAGGGCAGACAAAAGAGGCAGTGCCTTTAAAAGGATAACTTGGGCATTCAAGGAAGAAGCCATTGCTCAACAAAATGGAAAGAAAATGAAATTCAGAGCTAGAGTTCTAATTCTACCACTTCCTGGCTTCCTGATATGATTTTGAGCAAATCACTCCATCTCTACCACATCCACATCCTGTGCGTAGGGTATTTCTCTTTCCTCTTGTGTCTCTAAAGTTCAGAGCAAGCTGGAGGTAGTGATACATGCTTGTATTCTTAACACTCAGAAGGCTTACGCAAGAGAATTGCTGTAAGTTCAAGACCAGCCTAGGCTACACGAGTTCAAGCCCATCCTGACCTGTACAGTAAGACCCTGTCTCAAAACAAAATACCAAAAAATTAAAAAATAAATATCTCAATGTGATCGAGACCATACTCATAAGCGAAATAAATCAAACTCACATGTATAAATACCATATAGTCTCTCTAGTGTAAGAAATGGTAAGAGTACATAAGAGTTTATGGTAATCATGATTCTCCATTATATTGCTTTGAAGCCTTATAATGTTTGCATTCATTAGTTGGAATGATTTTATCCTGGTTTGTTTGATTTTATTATCTGTGATAGTATGAACAGCTATTTTGAAGAAAACAAGACATTATAACAGCCAGTGCTGATTTAATATCATCTTACTCTGAAGTCCTACCATGCTTTTGTTCTTCTGTTTCCATTGGTTCTATCATATTGTATCTTATTGGATTTTATTATGTGTGAAAGTATAAACAAATTTTCTATGGAAAATGAGATAATATAGTAGCCATTGTTTGTTCTCTGTTATTTGGTTCTGAATGCCCTGTAATACTTTCATTGTCTTGAGTTGTTTTATACTATTTTGTTATGTTTGATACTATTGTATATGAAGTTATACTCAACTATTTCAAAGAAAGAGACATATGGTAGTTACTGTTAATTACAGGTTGTCTTGTGGTGAAATACTGTGTTGCTTACATTGTTCTGTTCTGATCTGCTTTGTTATATCCTCTTTTGTCTTAATTTCTTTCTTTCTTTCTTTTTTTTTTTTTTTTTGTCTTTTTCATTTTTATCCGTACCAGGGTTCGAACTCACGACCACCTGCTTGCAAGGCAGGTGCTTATGCCGCTGAGCTAAATCCCCAGCACTCTTGTCTTAATTTCTTTAAAAAAAAAAAAAAAAAAGCTCAGAGCAGGCCTAGCATAATAGGTGCTCCATGAATGATACAGAAAATGCAGGCCCATTTATTATCCCTTCAACTCATAGGATGTCAGAGAGTAGCTAGGTACAAGTAGTCTAAATACAGAGAAGTTGGTTGTCATCTGGGGTCTGGTGAGAATCAATGGCTGAGGAATCTCTCTTCAGTCAGTCACTAGAAAAGTGACCCCTTACCTCCCATGAACTGCAATGGCAGCAATGCCAGTCTTCTCTATCCGCTTCACAAGGCTCAGGGTATCTTCTAGCTAAGGAAGAAGATTTACAGTGTGGTTACTGAGGTCCCAGGGGAGCAGCTGCTAGCTCCTTAATGTGGGCTCAGCTTCAGCCCCCCACCATAGCTAATTCAGTGCCTTATGAATTATTCACAACCCCAAGTGCAACATTACCAGAGAGGACTGACCTTCAAATGTAACACCCCATCCTTACCGACGGCAGGATGCGAATCTTACAGGTCACAGGTCTGCATGTCCCTCTGACAAGCGTGCTGAGGATCTGTAAAGAGAAGCACACAGGAGCACCTATCTGTTCCAGAACAAACCACCACACTGCTTGTACCAATTAACTCTGCTACAGATCTGTGCATTCCAGTGGAATGGACAACTTGTTCATGCAAGAATACACAGTATCTGGTATGTACAGATGTGTATACACTTCATGAAGCAGGGAGTCTACCTCTGTTCCATGTGAGAGACCCAGCACCAGTGGTTCTCTACCTGGCCCCCAGTAAGATAAAGATATATAGACAGATTCTCCATCTCTCTCTCTCTCTCTCTCTCTCTCTCTCTCTCTCTCTCTCTCACACACACACACACACACACACACACACACACATACACACACACTGAAAGAATGAGTGAATGGATCTGTATATATTCCTGTGTGGAAACAGTGATCCTTTGCCAAAGCAAACATCAGAGATACCTGGAAAGCTTAAGAAATATAGACTCTTTGGTCCTATCCTATGATTTCCTAAATGAGTCTATAGGGGCCAGAGGTTGGAAATGTGTATTTCCCAAAATCTCTGACCAACATACTCCATCCTCAGAGATTCTGCGGCCTAGCTCTGATTAAGAACACATACTGACAGCTTCTTTCCTGGGTGAAGGAAAGGGAATGTTCCCTGAGTGCTGTCTTAGGGCCTGCAGAGTAAGGAAGCAGGAAGGTCTTTCAGCGCCTGAGCCTTATATTCATACACCCCTCTCTAGAGAGAAGTCAGATATATAGGAGTGATACTGGTAAAGGAAAAGAAAAGGTATTTGGCAGGTTGTGGTGGCACATGCCTACAATGTACTCTGAGAGACTAACACAGAAGAACTGCAAGTTTGAGGTCAATCTGGGCTTCAGTGAGGCCCTATCTCAAAAATAAAAAAGGGCTGGGGATGTAGCTCCATGGTATAGCACTTGCCTAATATGCATGAAGCCCTGAATTCAATCCTCAGTACTGCCAAAAGAAAATTTTTTACCAACAAATTAAAAAGTGCTTATTCCATCATAAGTGAAAAAGATTTCAAAGAGATATCAAAAAGTCATATGGCAAAGTGTTAGGGAGGTAGTAAGATCAGACCACAGAAGAATCAGAGATTAAGAGAGATACAAGTAAGGTGTATTGGCACATTTGCAGGATCAAAAGTTGGTGGCTAGTCTGGGCAACTTAGTGAGATCCTGTCCCACAATAAAAAAATAAAATAAAAAGAGCTGGGAATGTAGCTCAGTGGTAGAGCACGCCTGGATCCAAATCCAATACTGCAAAAGAGAGGGGTGGAGTAGCTGAGACTGCATGCCTATGCCTTTACTATCATCTCACATCAAAAACTTCAGTCCAGGCAAGCTGATCTCAAGAGCCTTTGTCTAAGAATTAGAATTCTGTCCAGCAGAGCAAAGCAGATGCCCAAGCAGCTGTTGCCAACTCTGAGTCTAGACAGGCAGGAGCAGCACAGAACCAGATGCCAGAGCTAATAAGAGCAGACCTTTCTTTTAGGTACAGGTGGACAGTTTATGAGCAAGACAGAGCTTTCTCCACCAGACACAGCAGGTCCCCAGGTGTTGTCTCAGAGAGCAGACTCAACCTGAGGTCCTATGGTCATACTAAGAAGGCTTAAAGGGACACTTAACCTTTACGGGGAACTGCCAGGTCTTCCATGACACAACATAAAAATTCTCTCACCTGGGTATGATGGCACATGTCTATAATCTCAGCACTCTGGGAGGCTGAGGTAAGAGAATCACCAATTTGAGTAAGTACAACCCAAGGAACTCAGCAACTTAGTAAGACCCTGTCTCAACATAAAAATAAAATTAAAAGGACTAGGGTAAAGCTCAGTGTGCAGACTCTGAGCTCAATCCCTAAGACTTCACAAAAATACATAAATCTCATTCTGTCTATTCTTCAGGCTCACAGCAACATATCTCAAAATTTTCCTTGCAAGTGCTCACTTGGAATCCACTGATACTTGGTGATTTAAGATATGCCAGCTGATATTCTATCTGGTAGAATTTTTCTTTGGTATATTCTACCTAGGCATCTCTAAATACTTTCTTCAGTACTCCTGTTCACTTCATGTCATCCTAAGGACCAAGATGGAAACTGGTTAACCAAAGGCCCTAGCCAGTTGTGAGGGCCACACTAAGGAGAGAGGGTTCCAGCATGAAGCTCTTCTCCATACCCACTCTCCAAATCTAAGCTGTATGGCAAGCATGAGGTTACGAGTTCGATCCCTGGTACCAAAACAAAACAAAACAAAAAAACCAGACCTAAGCAGCAGCACATGTTCCTGTGAAAGTCTCTGGGGGAAAGGACTAGAGATGAGTTCATCCCAAGCAAGAGAACAACATATCTACCCCAAACAGGCTTGCCTCTCCAGATCCATTATCCACCTGGGAAAAAGCAGAAGCCTAACTCCCCTGGTTGTTGTAGAAAGGGCGGATAGGAGGATGGGGAGGCAAAGCTTGAGAATCAGTGAGATCTGAGTTCAATTTCTGTCCTTGCCTGGTAGCCATGGCCCAAGAATATAACGTAGACAGCCAGAAGGTAGATAAAAGCTTAGGTGGGAATAAGAAATATTACTGAGCTGGAATCTAAAACTGAGGTTTTTAATCCATAGTGGGTACACTAGCATTACCCTGTGAAAGCTTTTTTAAAAAATACTCCCAGCCAGGCAGGGTGGTGCCTGTCTGCAATCTCAGCACTTGGAAGGCTGAGGTAGGAAGATCACTGCAAGTTTAAGGCCAACCTGTGTTACATAGTGTGTTCCTGAACTACATGGCAAGACTCTGTTTCAAGAGGAAAAAAAACAAGAAAAAAAAAAAAAAAAAAAGACTGACACTCCCTTGTCCACTATTTTCTATTCCAAGGGTATAGAAAATTCTCAAGTGTCCCCCTCCTTTTCTTTAAAAGGCTGGAATAAAACATATATATGGGGAGAGGTTCATGAGCTGATCTCAATCTCATACGTGAGTTTAAGCAAGACTCCCTCCTGCCTTAGTCTCTTAACTCCTGCACTTGCAAGGCAGGCACTTATGCTGCTGAGCTAAATCCCCAGCCATCTTTTTGATAAAGACTAATAAAATGAAAGCACAGAGAGATAAAAATAATATGTCATAAAATTTTCCATCTTGAACTTTTCTTGTCTTGAATGTGTATTTATGAATTATCCAAAGGCAATTACAGTATTTTAGTACTCCTCAGACACCTGGGAATTTTAAATGATCCAAGCAACTTGTGAAGGTCAAATTTACAAAATTTTCACCAAAGACATCCATCCATAAGTTACCTTTGTACTCCTATGTGGCTCTACCTTAAACTATTTTTCTTGCTAGATATGGTGGCTGACGCCCATAATCTTGGCACTCTGGGAGGCTATTGACAGGAGGATTGTAAATTTGAGTTTAGTCTGAGCAACTTAGTGACTTAGAACTCATTTTAAAATAAAAAATAAAAAAAGAGACTGAGGATATAGCTTAGTTTGAAGGGCCTAGGTTCAATCCCCAGTCTTGTAAGGAAAAAAAAAAAAAGGGAGGGGGGATGGTGCTACGGATAAAACCCAGGGCTTTTTGGGTGCTAGGCATGCAACCCATCACTGAACTACATCCGTAGCCCTTTTTAGTTTTTTATTTTAAGACAGGGTCATGCCAAATTGCCCAGACTGATCCTCCTGCCTCAGCCTCCTGAGTGGCTCACATTACTGCTATCTGCCACTGTATACCATTTAGACATTCTTAAGTGTATAATTCAGTAGTATTACATTCACAATGTTGTGCAATCATCATCACTATACAATTCTTTCTTTTTTCTTTTTTCTTTTTATCGGTACCAGGAATCGAACTCACGATCGCCTGCTTGCAAGGCAGGTACTTATGCCACTGAGCTAAATCCCCAGCCCCCATCACTGTATATTTCTAAAGTTTATTATGATCCTACACAAGTATCTTTAGTTTCAGAAAATTTCTGCAGGTGGCCCTGAGATGCTCAGACAGAACCAGAAAAAATCTAAAACCATGTCTAGAGAACAGACAAAGCTCCTGCTTATTCAGTTTGTCAGCACAGTCCAGGCCTAAATTGAATCCAGCCCTGTCTGCAACCTGCACTGGGGAAGCCTACAACTCTGCAACCTCCACTCCAGGAAGTGACTCCATTGACTAGTCCCAGCTGGCTCTTGTGACCTCCCCGCCAGATAAGTAGCAGAATGAACTAAACTAATGAACTAAACTTCTGAGGTAGAGTGCATCTCTGCTACCTCATGGTTGAACACACATAATTCAAAGAGAAGCAACGGAGATGATAGAGCCAAAAACATTAGGCTGGAAGATACTGAAAATGCCTATGTGCTCATGTTGTGAACTACAACCACTCTCCTGGGGCACCCTCTCTTCCATGTGGTAACCATTCTGACTTGTACTCCATGATGCACAGGGGAGTCTGACTGGAAGTCTGGGTACCTTCTAAACTCTGGCTAGACACTTAATCCTAGGACCTTTAAGATGTCATTGAGAAGGGGAATTGATGCTAGGTTAGGAGTCATAAGACTATGGCTCTGAACCTGGCTCTGCCTGCCAGATATTTGCAACTTGATCTTGTGCAAATTATTTTTATCTCTATGTGCTTTCGTTTATTAGTCTTGATCAAAAGGATAACAGGCAGACACAGTGGTACATACTTGAGAGGCTAAAGCAGGAGGGAGGCTCCCTTAAACTCATGAGTTTGAGGTCAGTGTGGACAACATGGTGAGACACTATTTAAAAAGAAAAAAAAAGAGAAAGTTAACATTTCTTCTTGTCCACTTCAAAGGTGTTTTGTAAACAAAATGAAACAGTGCAACATACTTAGAAAAGGAAACTCCCCTATCCTACAAATAGCAAGAATAGGTAGATTAGAAAGAAGGACTTTGAACTGTAGCTGCATATGGGAGGTCAGGGGGATGATGAGGCAACCAGCCAACACACAATTGTGATTCTTCTATGTTTCAAAGACAGATAGACTGAAAAAGTATTCAGAGTTGAACTGCAACAGCCAGAGCAAGCCATGGGAGCTCTTACTGTGTTTATGTCCCAAGTCACTCTAGCTCGTGGGTAACACTCGAAGCTCAAAGTCCATAGGAATCATAAGACTATGGCTCTGAAGTTGTCTTTACCTGCCAGTTATTTGTAACTTGATCTTGTGCAAATTATTTTTTATCTCTATGTGCTTTCATTTATTAGTCTTGATCAAAAGGATAAGTGAAGATGAAGAATGGAAAGGAAAATGAAAGAGCAAAGAGGTGCAACAAAATGAGAGCTAGTGGGCTGTAAAGGGAAGGTAAAAGGTATATATGTTATGCCAGAAATGTCCTCCCTATATGTCCTGTCAGCCTACAGAATGGCCTTATTAAGCCTAACTACAAAATCATCAAGGGAGAGGGAACAAATGAAGATTAAGTTCAGGTTGCATCATATGATCTTGCCCTGGCTTGCTCTCAAAGGGCTGTGGCAGATTCAATGAGTACATGGGGATCCTACTGTTGCCTATATCCAGCTCCTTGGGAGAGGACCGCCTACTTCTACATACATGGATATCAGGCCTAACCTCATACAAGATGGGCTGGCCTGAACTCTCATGATTTCCCAGAGGGGCAAATCAGTAGAGACTGCTACAGACAAGTCCTCAGGCCCTCTTAGTCAGTCGAAGAGTCTCTAGCTCCAGGCTTTGAGGAAACTTAAGTCTGTTGCAGGCTGGCTGAGGTCTAACTGCATGTCAAAATTACAGAGAAGCTTTACATATTTTTTGCAGGTCCCGAGACAGGAAGGCTAGATGGACTCTAGTGAATCCGGAATACAGGGAGGAAGGCATTCCAGGCAACTCTAGTTCACCACCATGCTTGAGGACTCTGCTTTCACACATACAGGACTTACCTTCTCAATCTTATCAGGGTCTGACAGCAAAGCTGCTCCCATTCCTCCCTAAGGAGAAGCACACAGAAGGTCTTCTTAGGGCTGGGGAAGAGGGCCCTCCCTGTGGTGTGACAACATGGTATGGCAAACTGGTAGTCAAGGTTCACTGGCAACTGACATTTCTCTTAACCAAGTAGGACTACAGCAGCACTCACCACACATAATCAGAGACTGGAGTTAAATAAATTCTAAAAGTCATCATTCTGATCCCTCTGGCAAAATCCATGGGTTTCTAGAAATGGGTTCTACTAATTTTTTTTCACAATTTCTCATGCCATACTCAGAGTCTTAATAAACTAAACCCTACTACCTTTGATGCCATTAAAGACATCTCCTTTTACAATAAGATTAAATGCTCCTTTTACTCTTATATCCAACACTTGGCACCAATACCACCAGCAAAGTCTCTCAGAGGCACAAACCTTATATAGGCCTTTCTCTGCCAGCAAAAATGTCCCAGCCCTATAGACCCAGCTTCATGCCAAACTCTCACAAAAGCCCCTACAAGTAGAAAACACCAGTTCATAAAGCTACTTCAATCTCGATAATAACAGTGGTTGTCACCTGATAATGGGTTTATTCACCAATAATTTTCTTGCTTGTAAAAATAATCTACATTTCTCAAGTTCTAGACATGATATGCATTGCTTTTATAATAGGGGAAGGAACTGCCTTTAAAAATACGAATATATTGGCCAGGCTTTGTGGTAAATGTCTACAATCGCAGCTACTCAAGAGGCTGAGAGAGGAGGACTACAAATTCAAGGCCAGCCTGGGCAACTTAGTAAAACCTTGTCTCAAAATAAAAAAGTTTTGAGGATGTAGCTCCATGGTAGAGTGCTTGTCTAGCATGTATAAGGAACTGGGTTTGATCTACAACACTGAACAAAGCAAAACAATGAAGTAAAGAGTAAAAAACAGAAGTTCAGACATCAGACATAGTATATATACCTATAATCCCAGCACTAAGTGGGCTGAGACAGGATTGTTGAGTTCAAAGCCAGCCTGGGTTATACAGTGAGTAAGACCAACCTAACCTAAATAGTGAGACCGTCTTTAAAAAAAAAAAAAAAAAAAAAAAAAAAAGACTAAGTAGAATAAGGAGCCTTCTCCTTGAGGAATGGAAGAATTTTCAATCTACATTTTAAATCTGGCTTCAGTTTTTGAACCATACGGAGAAGATATTGGCCAGCATGTATTATTATAGTATACTAGTTCTGATGAGCTGGTATCAGGTATTTGCCAGTTGTTATTTTGAGTAGCATGATTGCAGTGAGAATTTATTACCTATTGTGAAACCAAATAAAAACAGGTTTCCTTTCCCAGAAGGAACCCATGTCCCTAGTTTCTTGTGTGTCTTCCTAAATATATTCTGCGACCCCAGAGGCAGAGCAGCTGCCATGGCCCAGATCATTGTGATAGGCACACAGATAGAACTTTTGCTTGAGCCCTTGTAGCAGGAATTTGCAGTCAAGTAGGTAGCAGCTGATGCCCAAGAATGTGTGGGACACCAGTCTTGTTATGGTTTGTGTCCAGATGTCCCTCCAAAGTCTTATGCATTTTTTTATGGGGCTTTTTCTGAGGTAGCTGGATCTAGAGTTTGTGACTGATTCATGGTTCAATGCTAGGATTCAAGGTGCTGGGATTAATGAAGGGTGATTGTGGAATCAGCTAACTAACTGGATTTATATCTGCCTGGATAAGATAAAAAGGGCAGCAAGAGGCTTGTCTCTTTTCTCTCATTGCTTTTGCTGTCTTCTGCCACCATGAGCTGTTGCTACGCTGCCATGTGCCACCCTGCCTTAGAGCCAGCTGATTATAGACTGAAATCTCTACAATCTGTGAGCTAAATAAACCTTTCCTCCCTGAACTTTGGGCATCAGGTATTCTGTCTCAGCAATGAGAAAAAAGTAACTAAGACAAATCTGCTGTTGCATCCAACCTCTCCAGGTCTCAGTCTTCAGGAGGCTCAGCAGATTCTCAATATTTCCCAGCTGAGTGCAGAGGATATCCAGAAAAACTACAAATCCTATTTAAGGCGAATGACAGATCTGTGGTGGCTCCTTCTACTTGCAGTCAAAGGTCATCCACAAAGGAGAGCCTGGGTAAAGAACTCAGGATCCAGGCCCAGGAGGACAGAAAAAAAGGGCAGATGCCTAAAATGTGACAGTTCTCCCCCAACCCCTCCCTGCTGCATTTTAATTTATAGCTTGGTAATAAATGTCTTTTAAAAATAAGTAAATAGGACCAGGGGTTTAGCTCAGTGGTGTAAGTCCTTTTTGGCAAGCATGAGGTGGTCATGAGTTTGATCTCCAGTGTCAAAATAAAAAAATGAATAATAAATAAAAATAAGTAAATAATTCTGTGAATACATATATATGTGTTATTTTCTATTTTCCTTATGTAAATGGTAGTACACGATATATAAAAATCATGTTCTTTTCACTCTACAATATATTAGGGAGACCATTCCTTGTGGGTTGTTTTGTGTTTTGTGTTTTTTGCAGTCCTGGGGACTGAACCCAGGACCCTGGTACTGAGCTATAACCCAAATCCTGTGTTTTATTTTTTATTTGAGATGGCATCTTGCTAAGTTGGTAAACTGCCCTGGCTCCTGCCTCAGCCCCTGAGAGTGAATGCTGGGACTATATGTCTCAATGCCCAGCTTGGTTTTCAAGCATCCACCTTTCCCTCAGGAAAGCAGGCAGTTAGCAGCCTCTTGATCTAAAGCTTAAGTTCCCAGATTGGATAATTCCAGAGAACAGAGTAGCTGACTCTGGATGGCAAGTCAAAGGGACATCTATTGTACCTACACTGCAGACCTTCCACTCACCTTGTCATCAGATCCCAGGAGCATTGCTGCAAGAGTCCATCCTAGTGACTCACACTCAGCAACCTCAAGATGCCCTGTGATCTGCTCTAAACATGTCCTTCAATAGTCCCAATCACAGCTGAAGACCAACTATCCTCCTGGCTGCCAGTCTTCCCTACTGGTACACCTATTACTCCCCCTTCCTCCCATCCTGTCTAATAATTTGCTAGCCTGTCTAATAATTTGCTAGCTATTCCTAGTTTCTGCTGTGAATCCAGGTATCATCTCTCATTATCTACATTTATACCTTAGCCTCCTGCTATTTTAATCCAGTTTTTTGAGAAATTCTCACTATGTAGTTCAGGATGGCCTTGAACTTACCACGGTCCTCCTGCTCCCACCTCTTAAGTGCTGGGATTACAGGTGTGTGATACCACATCTCACTCTAGTATTCTTTTTGTTATGTTTTCTCTTCTTTCTCTCTCTCTTTCCCCTTCCCCCCTACCCCCTCTTCCTCTCCCTCTCCCTCTCCCTCTCTCTCTCCAGGGTATTGCTATATAGTTTAGGCTGGCCTTGAACTCACTATGTGGTCTAGGCTGGCCTCAAATTTGTGGCAATTCTTCTGCCTCAGCCGTCCGAAAACTAGGATTACAGGCATGTGCCACCACATCAGATTAGTATTCTAAAGCACAGAGCAATAACATGGCTTTTCTACCCAGAAAAAGCCAAAGATACCTAACGTCCAAGTCCTGCTGACCTGATCCTAACCAAGATTTTCTTCTTTTTTTTTTTTTCGTCTTTTTCCTTTTTGTCGGTACCAGGGATCGAACTCATGACTGCCTGCTTGCAAGGCAGGTGCTTATGCCGCTGAGCTAAATCCCCAGGCCCCAAACCAAGATTTTCAATCTTGTGATTATTTGCTTTTTGGATCTCTCACTTCCCAGCACTAATTAAACTGAGCTACCTTCAGTTTTGTCTCAAATTTATATTGGCCAACAGGTCCCCCTGCCTGTGCCATTCCCTCTGCTTGCAGGGTCCCAAATCTCTCAAGGCCCATATTTCCCTATAAGATCCCAGTTTTCAGGGCTGCCTTCTATTTCTTTCTCTGGATTATGATAACATTCTAGTCTGATCTGTTCTGACATGACCATGGGATAACTGTACTGCATGTTCCATTTTCTTTTTTTTTTTTTTTTTTTTTTTTTTGTCTTTTTCGTTTTTATCGGTACCAGGGATCGAACTCACGACTACCTGCTTGCAAGGCAGGCGCTTACGCCGCTGAGCTAAATCCCCAGCCCCCATGTTCCATTTTCTTAATGTGTCTCTATTTTATTCATGAAAAGAAAAATTTCTGTTTCCATTATTTTTTCACCATTTATTTTTTACTTGGATATGCCAACACTATCTCCGTCTTTCTACGTGCATATATGTGTGTGTGTATGTGTGAGTGTATATATGTAGGTATATAAAATTTTTCTGGGCTCTGGGTGTAGTAGAGTACTTTGCTTAACGTGCAGAAGATATCCCTCGGGTCAATTCCCAGAACTATTAAAAATTTTTTTCAAAGCCATTTGAGGGTAAATTATTTGTATCATAGTCCTCTACTCATAAATATTTCATTGTGTATTTTCTAAAAGTAGGCATATTCTCTAATGTAAGTACAGAAAAGTCATCAAACTCATAAGTTTAGTTTAATATTGTATTTTTAGCTGATCTATTTTGGTTCCTATTCCAATTTTGTTCATTGATCTAATAATATCCTTTTTTTTTTTTTTTTTTTTAATAATATCCTTTTGAGGAGCCGGGGATTTAGCTCAGTGGGACACCACCTGCCTGGCAAGCATGAGGACCTGAGTTCAATTCCCAGTACTCCCCTCCAAATATCCTTTTGAGCAGTTTTCCCCATCCAGCACAGGCTCTAGTCCAGAGTCAGATACTGTTCTTAGGTTCCATGCCTTGTTAGCTTTCTTTAATTTTTTCTGAAGAATACAAAGAAATCTGTTTACCTTGGTGGAATATTCTTTTGGACAGCCCATGTTGACATCAATACCAGCTACATCATTTTCTCTGGGAAAAACACAAAGGAAAAAAAGGTAAGAAATATTCAACTTGATGGAAGAAAGTAGAGCAAAGACTGGGTCTGTATGCATGAACCTCTCTCACTGTGTCCTTAGGTCTACACCAACCCTCAATGACAGAAGCTGAAAGCCAGGAAAGAAATCTGTCTCACTTGGGCAAAGCTCCAGAGGAAAGATATAATATGCATATACATCTCAAAAGAGCTGGATGCAGAGAACTCTCCTGCATTGACATTGTTATCAGATAACTCAAACACTGAGGGATGGTGAATACTATCCTTTTGTTGTTGTTGTTGTTGTTGTTGGTACTGAGAATCGAACTCATGACTGTGCGCTTGCAAGGCAAGCACTTATGCCGCTGAGCTAAATCCCCAGCCCCTGAATACTATCCTTGATCTATAGTTCTCACTGGGCTAGTGAAAACCATTTGTCAATGCAGAAAAGTGATATGCAGAGTAAAGCCCATTTCAGAGCACTTGGAAGAAGGTGTATGAATGCCTTCAATGTTGGGCTATAGAGTTGATTTATGAAAAACAAATCTCAGATATAGAAAGAACCTTCACCTCACCCTCTGCTTTTTACAAAGTTAAATCTGTGATCCACAGCAACTACTGCCTACGTAAGGTAACTCAGGCAGTAATTGTTGTGAATCACTTTCATTAATAACAGGAGCTAGCCAGGCATGGTGGTGCACACCTCTAATCCAAGCACTCAGGAGGCTGAGGCAGGAGGATCACTGCGAGTTTGAAACCACCTTGGCTACAAAAACAGGTCAAAGCCAGCTTGAATTGCATAGAAAGATTTTTGTCTCAAAAAGTCTCCCTCCCCCCAAAAACCCCAGGAGCTAACACTAAGTACTCATGATGTATCACATGCTATACATATTCACATGCATTATTTGATCTACTCTTCTCTATAATGCCAAAGCTTGGTGGTACTACTGGTATCATTTGATAGATAACGGAACTAAGTTCTCCAAGAAGTTAAATAACTTACCTAAGCTCACACAGTTCATAAGCAATAAAACCAGAGCATTAACTCAAGTGTACCTTTACTCCAAAGCCTATCATTTTAACAATGACATTCTTTTCTGGCTTTGTTAACTCAGGAAACAAGTCTCAGAGCTTACAGGACAGTCCCTAGAATGGGAAAGCCATGAATAAACACTAAACTCAGATCCCCATCAGAGGGATCTGGTATCTGGGAATAATGGGTATACCCAAATGCAGGGCCAGCCTTCAGACGCCGCAAACACAGATGGAAAGCACTTTTCACCTGAAAACAGAAGGTAATGGGCCAGGAGGGAGAAAGCTAGGCTACTTCCAAGGTCATTAGTGACATTAAGACCTCACTGTTCACAAGACAGAGAAAGGGGGCTCGAAGGAGGGTGAAACTTACACAAGCCTGGCCACAGCAAGGGCTCGTTCTGCATCTGAAGTCCCCTGGAAACACAGGAGCCTTTATCAACCACTGCTGGACATAGGTACATGTATATATACAAACACATCCCTGTGTATCTCACACATCCATTCATACCAACAAGTGAGTTGGGCCAGTTTTCTCTTAACAGCTACCCCAACAGTCTAACTCACTGCCAATGGAAAAAGGTAGGCCTAGAGAGCCTACACAATGCCATCAATGTTGTGGTTACTTTCAAACATAAAAATTATGCAAACAAATTTTATATTGAACATTCAGATACCACTTTGCTTCTGCAATTAACATTTTGCTGTATATGCTTTATTATATATCTACCCACTATTACCAATTTTTCAAAAAACTTAAACATCATTCAGGAGCTAGTTCTGAAAAAGCACTCAGTAATGTCCAAGAGAGGAGAGCTAGAGTCCTTATAACTTTAATACATTTTAGCTATTCTTCAGAAAAAAAAAATTTTTTTTTTTTGGTACCAGGGATTGAACTCACAACCTCGCGTTTGCCAGGCAGGCGTTGATCTAAAACTCCAGTCCCTCAGAAAATTTTTTAAAATTTATTTAGTACTGAAGATTGAACCCAGGACTCTGTGCATACTAGGAAAGTGCTCTATCCTGTGGTTACATTCTCAGCCTTTTTTTTTTTTTTGGAGATGGAGTGGTTATGTGATCCATGCTGGTCTCAAACCCATGAACTAAACTCCTGCTCACCCTCCTGAATAGCTAGGTCCTCAGGCTTGTGATACTATGCCTACCTTGAGAAAAATCTAATTTATGATGGGAAATATGTACCAGTACTCACATCATGACCTAAATAATACTAAGGATGAAGAATTAAATATGAAAGTCAGGCCAAAAAGATAATTCTTACACTTAAGTAAATTAAATCTGAGATCAGAGTCATTTAACAGACTGTGTCAGCTTGGTTTCCATAAACTGTTTCCAACAGAGTAAGCATTCATGAATGAATCTTTGAAAAATGTTCAAGTCAAGTCTTTAGAAAGCTGTCACTGTGCAATGTAGACCAAGCATCTGATGCTGTCTGGCTAGGGGAGTAAGGCACCTCTGGAGAGCACTGAACACTGGAGTCTCTTACCATCTGAAAGACCACCCTGTTCTGTTCTTTTTCACAGGTACGGAAGACTACTCGATCATCAGGGGCAACAAAGTCTACTGTACTGAGCACCTCTGTAAGAAAATACAAACATATCAGACCACACAATTCTCAACCTAACCCAAGCTCTGGAAGTAAACACAGCAAAAGCATAATCTTGAATGGAACAAAGGGGTTACAGATATTTACCACTTTTTAAAAAGTATGCAAATGGAAGGCTTTTAAGGTACAGATGATGGTGTATCTCTTCACCTGAATGATGACTATTCATTTTACAATTATTTGTCATACTGCATGTTTGTGTTTTATGCACTTCTAAATGGTTGTTAACACTTTACAATTTTTAAAATGTTGAATTGCCTTTGTAGTGGTACATGCTTGAAATCTCAGCATTCTGGGAGGCTGAGGCAGAAGGATTACAAGTTTGAGCCTACTTTGGGCCCTTGTGCAACTTAGCTAAAGGACTAGGGATATAGTTCAGTGCAAACACTCTGGGTTCAATTTTCATTTCCTAAATAAATAAATATACTACAACTACAAAAAAAATCCCAAACCCAACAACAACAGAAACCAAAAATAAAAATATGCATATATGAAACTTTGTTTTTCACTTTTGTTTCAAATTATCTGAGGCTTAGTACTTCATCTCTTGATTACTTATAATATATCAAGTATTTGGAATGGAAGTTTACTATATTTCAATCAAGTTTTACTCTTGTATTCACAGTTGCATATATGGAAATTCAATTCTTCATTAAAATTTATTTATAACTCCTAAATCAATACTTATGGTGTTTTTGGTCATTCATGGACAGGCACAAAAGTGGCTTGAAATTTGAATCACCTTATGTACATATTTCCAGTTGAAGTCAAACAAGGTGAGATCCTTTTGTTTCAGTTTACATATTATAAAAATATGCCCTTTTTATAGTATATTTAGTCCTTTAATTTCAAACTGGGTGCTTTTTGTTGATCTTGCTGTTTAAAATAATTCCAAGAAGCCAGACATGGTGCATATGCCTGTAATCCCAGCAGTCTTGGAGACCTGAGGCAGGAGGACTATAAATTCAAATCCAGTATTGGTGACTTGGTGATGGAGCAAGACCCTGCCTCAAAATTTTACAAAAACTTAAAAAAGAGCTGGGGATGTAGGTCAGTGCAAAGACCCTGGGTTTAATCCCTAATACTCCAAAGTAAATAAATAAATAAAACAATATAAAATGGCTCCAAGCATAATACTGAAGGACTGTCCTGTGCTCCTAAGCACAAGAAGGCTGTGATTAGCCTTACAGATAAAATACTTGAATTAGATAAACTTTGATTAAGTATAAGGTTATAGAGCTATTGACTATGAGTTCAATATTAATAAATTAATGGTATACATTAAGTAACATATCTGGTAGAACATGTTATTGGCTTTGGGTTTAATCCTCACTACCAAAATAAATCACATTTCTTGGAGCAAAAACACACATAAAATAATGTTATATACTGTTCTGACAATGGAAATGTGATCAGAGGCTAGCAAGAACTTAATCCTCTACTCCCCCTTGGGTCAGTTAGTTCAGTGTTCATAAATTCAGTATTCTCAGCAACTTTATAGAACATAACTACTACAAATAATAAAAATAAACTGCATCTCATCAGCCCTTCCTAACAAAGCTCTATAATTGGTGCTATCATTATTAACTTTCAAAGGTGACTACTATATGAGAGATCTAACATGGCAGATGAAAGACATTCAACATGGCAGATGAGTGAATATGCCTACTTGGAATATTGTTCTTAAAAATGTACCACATGAAGATTGTTTGTTTGATGGTTAGTTTGTTTTAGTACTGAGGATTAACCTCGGAACCTTTGTCCTGGCTACATACCTAGCTATTTCCACTTTTTTTTTTTTTTTGAAACACTGTCTCACTAACTTGCCTATGTGGCCTCAAAGTTGTGATCTTCTTGCCTCAGCTTCCCACAATGCTACACCACCATCCCCAGCTACAAAAGACATCTTTAAAACATATAAAGCACCTCCATAAAGGGAAGCCATAATTATCTTCTAAGCACTGAATAGATTAGAAGGTTAAAAAGAGTGAGGCAAGGCAAAAACATATTGGGAGTTGGTTTTTTGTTTGTTTGTTTAAACTGGGAATCAAACTCATGACCTTGTGCTTGACAGGTAGGCACTGTGCCAACTGAGCTATATCCCCAGCTCATTTTGGGAGAAATAATCAAAGTGATCCCTGACAGAGAGCTGAAATTCTGAAGAATCACAAAGACTTGCTGTGCTTCTAATGCAGCTTGCTAAAGCAAAATATTGAAAACTTCTGTTTAAGCACTGGTGAGAACAATTTTAACAAAGCCACATGTCCCAGTAGAAAAGCAAGTGCAGGCCAGGCTGAGTCCTCAGGTACTCAGGACTGAGGCAGAAAGATCACAAGTTCAATGCCAGCATGAGCAACTTAGTAAGACTGTTAAAATAAAAAGAGCTGGTGACGTAGCTCAGCACTCCTGGGGTTGAACATCAGTACCCCACCCCTCTACAACAATGTAAGTGGAAAATAACATGTTCCATATGATCTAATGGGAAGAGAGAGGATATATGCATTATTCATACTATATTTGTAGGGAAATATGCATTACCTTCTTTGTGATTATGTTTAGGTGTAGGGTTGTGAAAGATTTCATTTTCTAGAATATATAGATCTATAATATTGAATTTTTCATAACAAACAAAAATAAAAATTTGAAAGACAAAATTGAGTCAAAACATCTTGAGTTTATACTAGATTTTATGAACAGACAGACACAAGAGGTATGCTCTAAAAACATGGTGAATGTTTAATTATTATTATTATTTTTTTCTTTTTTGGTACTGGGGATTGAACTCATGACCTCACGCTTGCCAAACAGGAGCTTGTACTGCTGAGCTAAATCCTCAGCCCAACAGTTTAAATTTTAAAAAAACTTTAAGGGAGAGATACATTGCCATTAATTTCCCTCAAAATACTCCCCCTTACCACCACCACACACACAGTTTGAACACTCTTGTTCTTGGCTGATGCAGCTGTGGAAGTTCTTTAGTGAATATCTTGTAGCATATGCTTGCTATCATACCTGTTACAATGTCTGGAATCAATTCAAATTATCTACCTTTCATGATCTTTGTTACTTTGGGAAAGAGCCAGACCTGCACAGATCCTACATCCAGTGCTAACTCCAGTGAGTAAGGTGGACTAAGGACCTGCCATAATGTTTTTATGAGCCTGCCTTTCTGTTGGATGGCACCAGGCAGCCACATTTGTGACCATACTTGTAAAGACACTCACAAAAGTACTTTTAGAATTCCTTCAGAATGTGGCAAGAACAGGGGTAAGTGTGTTTGAAGTGACAGGGAGGAGTTTTTTTTGTTTTTGTTTTTGGTACTGGGAATCAAACTCAAGACCTTGTACTTGCCAAGCAGGCACTGTGTCACTGAGCTATATCCTTAGCCTGATGGAGTATTTTAGGAGTGATTAATGGCAATGTGTTTTTACTATAATAAATTAAACATACTACTAATTTTTTATCAGGCCTATAATATATCTATCTTTAAAACCTTAAGATCACCAAAACCCTAATTGAAACTGAATCAACAAAGTATAAGCCAAACCACAATTCAGGGCCAGGGATTTAGTTCAGCAGCATAAGTTCCTGCCTGGCAAGCACAAGGTCATGAGTTTGATATCCAATGCCAAAAACCAAACAAATAAATAAAAATAAAAAAATTAAAAACCACAATTCAACACAACCTCTTCCATTTTCATAGAGTTTATATTGTACAAAGTACTTAATGGTACTTTATTTTATTTGATTCTCACTCCATGCTATGACTGAAGTATAGCAAGGTTTATGATTTTCATTCTAGCTGAGAATTTAGCTCAGCAGCAAAGCACCTGCCTGGCAAGCTCGAGGTTGTGAATTCAATTTCCAACCATTCTACGTATAAGAAAATGAGATACAGAGGTTATGTGACTTGCCCAATGTCACACATTATTGAGATTTAGGTTTAGAATGCTCCCCAGTGTAAAAAGAATTAACATATTGTATGAGGCTCGGGATTTAGCTAAGTGACCTAAATTTCAGCCTGGCAAGTATAAGGTCATGAGTTTGATCACTGGTACAAAAAAAAAAAAAAAAAAAAAAAAAATCACATGTACATGTACCAATCCCCCACAGTAATGTAATCATTACATATGACAAATATCTACTAGTAAAAATAAAATTTAAAAATGTCTATTGAAAAAAACAGAATTTCCTCCAAAAGCCTCACATGTTCAGAGGCAAGACTTTGGAAGGTGATTGAAAAGGGGCTTTCCCACTTATCAATGGATTAGCCTACTGATGAATTCGCAGCAGACTTGTTAGGAGGTGGGGCATGGTTAGAGATGGGTCACTGGTGGTATGACCCGGAAGATTATATCTTCCTTCCCAGTTTCTTCTTTCTCTCTTTGCTTCCTGGCTGTCATGGTATCTGCAGCTGTTCTTCACCTAGGTCCTTCAACCATGCTATTTCTGCACTGGAACCTGCTGACTATATATTGAAAGTACTGAAACTCTGAACCAAAATAAACCTCTCCTCCTTTAAGTTGTGGGTGTTGGGTATTTTGTTTCAGTGGCAGAAAGGTGATTAAAACACAAACCTACTGAGTGACTGAGTCAGATCCAATGCTGAAGATCCAGGACCATTTCTATGCCAGCAAGCCAAAGAGAGGAGGCATTTTTAGCCTGCTTCACTTCTAGTTTTTTTTGAACAGCAATCATTGCTTTCAAGACAGCATGTAATCTACACTACATCAGTATATAGCCAGGCAGGGGCAACGGTAGGACTGCTTGAGCCAGTTGGTACACACATACAGTCCTGGGGCCAGGATTACACTCACCATTGACAACTCTCTTGCACTGAAGCATCTTGAGGTCAATCAGCTCCTGCAGAGGAATCAGAAGACACTCATCAGCCCTAGACATTAGGCCCTAGGTATAAGAGGAGGACCTTCATGGCTAGTGATGGGTAATGGCTGGCCAGTCACTCTATCATCAACAACAATCCATGGCATTTGGAACATGATGAGCTGCCTTTTCCATCCAAGCAAGATAAGCAGAGCTCTGAGTGACATAACCTTAGTTAAATGGCCTTCCTAGGGAGGTTGGTGATGTTTGAGGCCAAGAAAGGATGAGCCACTCACAGGCAAGGAGAAAACTGCTCAGGATGTGGACACCAGGACATTTTCTTCACTTACCAGTCTCAGCTCAAGCCACACCCACAAAGAACTACCTCAATCCCTAGGCAACAGGCAGGCAGTGAAGGGCTCTCAGGATAGTACTGAGACTAGAAAACAGACTTATAGGGAAGAGGATTTGAGATGAAACAAGTAGAAAAAGTCTATCCAACATAGCTCACTCTGAGTAAACAAAAGGAAAGCACCTCAACTCTGGAGATATTCAAACAGACTCAGGAAAAATGGAAAAGGGGTTCTTCAAAATCTGAATAATAAAAATAAAGGGAATGCTCATGTGTCCTGGGGGACTGAGATTCTTTAACTCTTAGCAATAACACTGCTCTGTTTTGTTCAGTAATCATTTCAGCAGATGTGGAAGATAAGTCAGAAGAGCCAAGTACTGTGCCCAGAAGCTTATGCCCAGGGACTCTGAGTGTCCAGAAGAAGATGTGAAGACTCTTACCCATGACGCTCATCCTCATACTCCCTGTGAACCTCAGCAAGTTATAACCCTAGCCAGGTGGACACAATGACTTGACTTACACATGGACTATCAGGGATAACATGGCAAAGGGCTCCTATGGCATCCACACAGCTCTTTTCAGTAAATCTGCCATGTAGTTTAATATGTGCCCAAGATGTTCTGTGGCTATTCTCTCCATGCAGTACTCAAATAACCGAGAATCTTGTGCCTATTAGGTCTGACCAAACACACAGTATAGACACATGATGGGTATTCAAGCCCAAGGAACCATTATGGTGAACCAGCTAAGAGCCCAATTCAGGGTACCTGTAACCAGTTATCTTAGTTAAAAGAACAAGCACAATGCCAAATGGGACATACTAAATGGCTTATTCTCAAAAAGGAAGCTCATTAGCCAAGCTGAGCTTCAGTAGGGATACAAGCAGGATAAAGCATGGTAAGACTTTAAGCAGTGATTAGGAAACTCATTGGTTGCAATGTGGAAATCTCTAGATAATTATTAACTGACCATCAAGCTAACTAAGCAGAGACTTCATTGGTCATAAATAATGAAAACTATAGACTTTACGAAACCAGAAGTCACTAAACAACACAACCAACCCTTGGGTGGGGAATGAACCTAATTTTCGGAGTTGCCACATTATATTATTTAAAACATATAGTTTTCAACAACAATAACAAATTATAAGACATAAAAAAAAGCCGCCAAAAAATATGACCTATATACAGGAAATAAAAAGTAGTGACTTACTAGATATACACTATTTAAATCCACTACCTTAAATAAGTTCAAAAACAAAGTACTGGGGCTGGGGATTTAGCTTAGCAGCATAAGTGCCTGCCTTGCAAGCACGTGGTTGTGAGTTCGATCCCTGGTACTGGTAAAAAAAAAAAAAGTTAAAAAAAAAAAACAAAATAACCATGTCTTAAGAACTGAAGGAGCCAACCAGGTATGGTGGTACATGCCCATCCATGTTCCAGGTACCCAGGAGGACAGGAGTTTGTCCTGAATTTGAGGACAGCTTGTGCAATTTAGCAGAACTTTGTCTCAGAATAAAATAAAATAAAATGAGAAAGGCTGGAACATAGCTCAGTGCTCTGTGGATCTAATCTCCAATACACACCAAAAACCCTAGGAAATGTGTAAGAACAATATATCACCCCCCAAAAAAATATGAATAAAGAAACAGTAAAGAATAAAATAAAGATTCTGATGTTTATCTTCTGGTGTCATGGTGCCGAAGTACTTTCCCCTAGCACATTGCAGAGTGTACCCCTGCTGGATGCGCTGCTTTCTGTGAACTCTAAAAGCTACAGTCTGTATAGGAAATACCCTAGGAGACCCTCAAGCTGTGCAATGATGTTTACACAACAGGAAGCTTAAAGTTTTTAATGAGTAACAAAACTTCAGATATTAAAAATGTAAATCAATTCGAGCAAAGATGGCAGATAGATAACAGCTGGCTACAGAGGCTCCCTGAGATAGTCAATTTAGAATTCAACATAATACAGCATGGGGAGCCCCAAACAGAGGGAGATGAATTCTCTCGTCCCAAGAAGAAACTAAGGTGAGAAGAACCAATCAAACATACAGTCCAGGTGCTATTATTGGAAAAGCTAAAGGTTCAGTGTTCTGCCACAGTGGGTGACTTGCTGTGCTGTCCGAGGTCCTGCCGCTTCGATTCACTGGAGGCGCAGTCACACTGAGGTCGAGGGGTTGGCCAGCCGAACGGAGAGCTGAGGTGGTGGGGAGCCTGCATCAACCTGAGGTGAGTGATAGGAGTGGCGCCGTTCCACAGAAACGGGGGCGCTGAATGACATTCTGGGACTGGGCAGGACTGGCAAGTACAAGGGACAGCGGTGACTTCAGTCAGTTGTTCCCTTCCTGAACGGGATTGGTGGAGTGAGCTTGGCCTGGGTCACACAACCTGGCTGAGACCCAATAGATTATCTGAAATCAATTCCCTACAGTGGTAGCACACACTAACACAGTGAAGGCCTGAAGTTAGACTGACCCAGAGGGGAGGCGGTACACAGTAATACAGTGAAGACTTCAACAGCTTGACTGATCCGGAGGGGACGGACCAGCATACGCTGCCCCTGTCTACAACTCACTAGCACACTGAAGTGGGAAAGGTCACCTAGCCAGTGTGCTTCAGAATTGTAACCAACAAAGAAAGAAACTGGGGCCTCCTGGAAGAAACAAAAAAGATGGGAAGAGGAAGCAACAACAAAGAGTCCCCAGGTCCCAATCCTGAGAACATTGTCCCAGGACAGGTAAATACAAAGGAGAATGAGAACAGCAAACATGCAATATCAGACACGGCACCAGTGGACACAAAGAGATATCTTCGGGACCTCATAGACGAGTTCAAAAGTGAAATATTTGGCCAAGTAAAGCAAGATATAAGAAGATTAATAAAAGAGATGCTAAGCACCCCTCAAGCAGACACAGATAGAAGAAGGGAGGAACTCAAACAAAGGAGAGAACCGTTTGATGAAGAATATAAAAAAATATAGAATACATGAAGCAGATTCAAAGAGATTACCAGGAAATTAAAAACTCTATGGAAAGATAGCAAGTCTGCTTGAAAGAAACTAAGGATAGATTATCCAAACTGGAGGACAGTTTTGTAATGTGGGATTATGAAAGGGAAAACTAACAGGGAAGCAAGCAGTAACAATACAAAGGCTAGAATATGTCAGGAGAATAAAGAATACAACTTGAGAATAAAGAATGTGAATGAAGAAGCAGGGGTACAAACAAAGGAACTACAAAGGCTATTCACAGAAATAATTAAGGAAAACTTCCCAAACATAGGAAAAGGAAATGATATTCTGATATATGAGGCATACAGAACTCCAGCCACCTACAACCAAAACAGCTACACCCAGGCATATAATAACAAGATCCCAGAAATTCAACATAAGAACAGAATATTAAAAGCTGTTAGAGAGACAAGAAACAGATAACCTATAAAGGAAGGCCCATCAGAATAACTTGGCAGATTTCTTAGTACAAACCATCAAATCAAGAAAAGTCTGGGGCGAAATATTCCTAGGAAGAAAATAACCTCCAACCCAGATTGATATAACCTGCTAAATTGTCTCAAGAAATTAATGGAGAAACAAGATGCTTCCAAGACAAAGAGGAACTTGGGAAATTTGCAACCACCAATCCAACTCTACAGAGAATGCTGCAGAGCATACTAGAGAGAGAGAAAAGTACTAGGATTCCAGGAACAGTGGCAGAGAGGCCTCAATGAATGGAGCAGAAAACAGAATGAAGAAGATAAGCAGACATCTGATAGCAAAAAATGAGCATAATAGAAAGGAGGCAGAGAAGGATGATTATAATCACTAATATAGATGGCCTTGATACACTAAATTAAAAAAAAACAACAACACGTGAAGTATATCAGGAGGCAGGGTCTACCGAGATGCTATTTATAGGAAATATAATTAATATGAAAAAGAGTACATGAACTGAAAATCAAATATGAGAAAACAATGCTGTATGTGGCAGAGAACCAGAGAGTAACAGGGGCAATTAGACCAGTATTTGTGGATAGGTTGGAAAGACAGGCAAAGCAAATACAATTAGACAGGTAAAGGAATACAATTAGAGGTCAAGTCCAGGAGAGAGAAGGTTTGGAATCACTTAGGTAAATAGCAGGTTGCTCCCCCCACCACCACCAATTTAAAACCAAGGGTGTTGGTCAGACCCAAAAATGTGTATCCTGGGGAAGTGAAAGGGGAGGGAGAGTCTTAAAAAAGATGGCAGAAGATATTGTTAATAGTGTATCACGATTTAAAACCCACATTACTCACACCACTCCGCTTAGATAGATTTTATTCTTTTTTTTTGATAGATTTTTTTCTGTCCCAATTTGTCTACTTGCATTAGATTTGAGAGCACAGCTATCCCAAAAACATCAGGATATAGCACAGTAATCATCTTTAATTCCCTATTATCTTAATCTGGAGCCCTGTATGACTTACATTGTTTTATCATGACTGATCTTAGTTAAATCTAATTTGTTTGATTGCTGTTTGGTATCGACAGATTTTATTCAAAACTGATATGATTGATAGTGTCAAGTCTAAGTGTATAGGCAACTACACTGAAGATGACAAGACTCTACGATATACATTCTGGTTTGATAACTGCCTGTTTTTGAAGTTTTATACTATATACAAAGTTGTGTTTTTATTAGTTATGTACT